ATGAACAGTGTATCATTTGTCTTATTTCTCAAGTTCCTCCAGTAATCAAACTAACAAGGAGGGTTGCGCTCGAGTAAGGAACTATTTAGAGGATAGGATTGTTGTTATTGGCTTATTTGAACTTCCAACAAATATCTCGAAGAGGACATGTTGCGAAATGTTGAATTTGAATTCGATCCAAGTATCATCGTGATCACAGCCAAACATCTAAGTACACTACAAAACCAAGATGGTGGAATTGCGAATAAAAGACCTAATGCACATTTATTCATAACGGGATATAAATCATAAGTACAGCAATAAATAACAGAAACGATTTATCATACTTTTCATGACGGTTCAAACGTTACGATGATCCATCAAGCGCCACCGCGCACAATGATTGATTGTGATGTGCGGCAATTTTCGTCAAGATTTGAATGATAATGACCAAAATACCTATTGCAAATATTTAACATTTAATAAAAAAGTTTTTTGCCAAAAAACTGAGAAACTTCTTTATAATGCAATAATAATTAACATAATGCCACTGTAAAATTTTATTGGTGTTTGTATGCGTTTGTCATACTTTATACGCACCTTAGGTGTATGCAATTAGACAGAGAGACGGATGCTATAAATTAAAAGGTTCAACCTCTTTATTACCTATTGGCGCGTAGTCATTAGCGAGGTCATTAAATGCAAATAATTATAATACAAAAAGATCAAAGATGGTATATTGGCGCCAGTTCTTATGTCACTTTTCCCTTTTTAATCAGAGTACAATTTATATTAGATGTATTAGAGCACACAGGGCCATGGAAAATTAGGCGCTGTGAATAATTTACGAGTATACATACAGAACAAGACATGAAGAATCGCATAGATACGATTTTCAGGAAGGAAGTTTTTATCAGTTTGTGAGTATCATTTTCCCACACTTCGTTCTCCAAAATCTATTATCTCCGTTGAGACCTATTGCTTTCCCTTTGTGAGTATCGCCTTCCTACACTCCATTCTCAAGATATTCGAGTTTAAAATTTTGACTCCACTGACACACACGTTTAATCGTTATCCTTTTGCGAGTAATTTGTTTCAACCCTCCGTTCGTGAGCTACACAAAATTGAATACGCGATCGATTTGCAGATATTTGAAAAGAGGATGTCTCTTTTCGTTCTCATGTCAGACGAGGAAATTTTTTCCCTTAGAAATGGATCTGGAAAAAGTTGTCGGGTAACGATATCGATCGAAGATGCCTGGAGTAGGTATTTACATGTGGTGTACTTTGAAATTTCTTTCTTGGGTGTGCTAACTTTTGTTTCAGCGCCCTATACGAGTATAAGTTTTTGGTGTCAACTCCAATCTTTGATTAAGTTCGCATGGTTTGCTGAACTGTGAATAAAAATTTTGTTTACAGAAATGTTGTCAAAAGAAAATGGCTGAAATTATTTAGTTTGATACAATTACCGCTACTGTGGCGAGCAAGGACTTATGATGTGCCTGAATTATCAAATTAGTGTTATTCATAGCCGCTAGATAGCGTTATAATTTTGAACAGTTCCTCCAAAAATTTAAATAGAACGGTGTATCTTCTTTTGCATACAATGAACGAGAACAAGAATAATCATATTTGAGAGTTGAAGATGAAGACCCTCGTTCATAACTACACTTGATCATCTACGGCACTGGTAAGCATTTTTCTATCGCAATTAGTTTTGTCCATGTCTAGCTCTGTAATAAAATTACGTACGCCTTACCTTGCGAAAGTTTCCTCTTTTATCTTTTTTCATCTGAAAATCAAAATTTGACGCATTGGTTTGACTGCAGACGAATAAATACTAATTTCAAAATAAATAACTGAATGTAGTCACAAATTAAAGCGGATCCATTTACATGTTTTCTGATTTAAAGTGTTGATTTGTTTCCTATAAATACAAAAAAAACAACCCCTATCTCGTGACCACGTTTCAGTTCTAATTTTCCACTTCACTTCAACCAACAATAAACTAAACATTAAGTATTTATACACACCTTATAGCTATAGAAAATTTGGATCAATTCAAATACAAATTCCCAACTAATGAAAAAAGAATCAAATTTCTTTATATGGGTCCAATTATAATAACTAAATGCAATACAAGTCTATTCCATCCATATACATCAGTTTCTTTAAAGATACTACATTACGTTAAATGAATATCCGCTGCAAAGTCTTAAAGATAACGGACCAATACTTTATACAATTCAACACAAATTAATGTATCTAACAGATTTTTAGGTTACAAATGGTACGGTCCTCTCATGAAAAATTGAAAACTGGGTCGCTTTTAAGGGTGATACTGTAGAACCCTTGATACCCACTCTGGTACAAATTTGCCTCTTGTAGTATGGACATTTTCAGGATAATGAAGCTTATATTTACCTCGACGCTCGCCTCGACCGCATTCAGAACTCGCGTCAAATCCCCTGTGTTTAGACGTTTTGGACATACGTTGTTAGGAAGTGTTTTTCTTAAAATGGGCCCAAAAATCACTCCCTTAAAGATTAACATGTTATTAAGAAACACTGTATAAACTATAACGGGCCTAAAAATAATGTTTGAAACTACAGTATGATCTTGACGCATGGGATCCACTTGAAGTTCCGCTTTTGGCACTTACACAGAGTTGGTGTGGGAGAAAATGGAAGGGAATCTTGCTGACATTATCTTAACGACAACAAAATGTAGCGCTGTACCTACAGGTACATTGGGATAATCTCAAGAATTTTGTTTAGGTTTTGAAGGAATTGGCCCTTGATTGAACCTATGTTTTCCCATTTATAAACGAATTCCGTCTATTCCACCTAAGAGGAGCCATTTGGAAATGACTTGATCGTCTTCATAATTTGGTTGTTGTCATAAATCGAAGCGGAATTTAGAGGAGGGCCCTTCCGTCCTAAAATAAATTTGGATGAAATTCTTTGCTCCATTGTGAGGTCATCCTATTTTGGAACACATGGTATGAAGATAATCTTCTGTAAGCAATCCAGAAAACGACTATGCTACTGTGGGTGGGGCTGATTTCGAACAGCACGTTGGATTATATTATGATTTAAGAATGGATTATAAGCATATTCCAAATTTTTCATGTGGTATACTCGGATTGGACCAATTGATACAGACAGGACAACAATGCTTCAGCCTCCTATTTTCAAATCTTGTTTTTATTGTTGTGATAACCTTTAGTGTTAATTTGCCAAGTGCCAGAAAAAAATAAAAACTAAATCGGCAGATGTTGGTTTTTCTGGGAAATCTTCGGAAGTAATCGGAATTTTCTGATTTTCTTTACAGCATGATAATAACTCTTCAACTTTTTCTTAAGACCATCATCGTATCTTCTTTAGTTTCGGCGATCGCCATGATAGATATCCTTATCTATTGTGCCCAGCATTTTTATTTGCTCGCTCAACGTGGGGCATTGCATTTATTTTTTTATGTGAACCGAAATTAAAGGGTCACAGCATAAACGTGGTTAGTGAGATATTCCTCCTTTGGTTCATAATATTTAATTTTATTGAGAATTGCACACAAAAACAAACCTGGTTCAAAAATATTTTGTTTATTTTCTTTTTGTGAGGCTACGTAACCCCGAAACCCTAATGATTAACTACGCGGGACCTCCGACAACGTCCGGGTGACCTCTTGGCTATCGCGCTCACGGGGTATTCAACATTGCTTACTTTTGCAAAGTGCACATTTTTCTCAATGAAGAACATTATGCTGATTTATAGAATACTAAACGAAATGCGTCATTGTTGGACGCCTCTTATCACGCGCAGTGTCATGCAGTGGGACTTTTCAACCCCTACACGGGTAAATGCCAAATAAACCCGAACAAGAGCTTGCCTATGTACTTACTTTATAACGATTTGGAGGGTAAATCGGGGGACAAATTTTATGCAGTGCATCAGCAATGTACAATATTACTAACGAGCTCCTAGCGAGTTCATAATTTGACAGTGTCTGTCCGTCCATCCGTTAGCACGATATATCGAAAACGAATAGACCGATTACAATAAAATTTTGCAGGTGACCTCTTTATCAAAGTTGTAGATCGGAGTTCGTGAATTGGCAATGTAGGCCAGAAAAATAAGGAAAGCCTTTTTGACATCTCTACTAGTTATGAACCGAATTGCATGAAATTCAAAATGAGCATAGTTTTAGCCAAATTATACGCAATGCCAAGCTATATAGGAGCTCGTTTGTTATATTTGTTTAATTTATTTAATGACAAATTTTTGCAAAAAAACTGAAATGTAGGTACTCCGTGGGTAATCACTAAATATTGCGGTATTATAGTTATGGTAAGCATATATTCTGCAGACAGAGTAAATACTTCGACAAATGCTGTTCAATGGAAGCCTAATTTTAGTAATCGAGAATGGGCAAATATTTATTTAAATTTACAGTGAAAATAGTGCAGTAGCTAACAATATTTTAATCGTGTTGTAAATCACTGTTAGGCCGCCCGGTGACCATTAGCACTAATTTTCGTAATTTTGGCCAATCTTGACCAAGAATTTTTATTACTTTATTATCTCAATTGCATTTATTGCCCAGCTCAGTAATAAACAGTTGACTCTTTAGTGGCGCTTCAAAAGTCACGGCATCTCATATCCTTAACTTGGCGCAAATTGCTATTTTTTGAGGGCAGATGAAATTCCAAGTCGATGATGCGTATACTGTGGGCTGGTGTGGCTGACATTTAAAATATTAACGTTTTTATAGAAAAGAGGCAGTTCCGGTAACGAAAAAAGAAATTAACAATAATGCATTGTAAAGGTTTCTCAATATACTCGTATGCATACATTAGACAGTTAACGAAAAATTATGCCCAAGTGATTTAATAAATTTGATTTAACCGACAAGATTTGGCGAATCTTGAACGTGCCGAGATGGGAAAGGAGAACTAATTCACAAATCTGTTTACTACACGCTTATGCAATTTGACATTGTATGGGCGGACATACCTATTCCCTATCTCACACCCTAGCAAACGTATAAATCGAAGACGATCCATGAAGATGGCACAGTTGCGTGAAAGAGTTGAAAGGTGCCATCACTCCACAATGAAAGTGTTGGTAAGTGATGCAAATTCGTAATAGATATTTTAGTAACAGTGCGCTATCAGTTATCACTGGTGTGAGTGTTTTTTTATAATTAAAATTCCAATTTAAATGTTGTTCCAAAAATGTAAAGCAATTCCATTTTAGATTTTTCGTGAGTATCTTAAGGTGAAAGTTGAAATGGTACATGATCCGTTGTGTTGTATTTATCGTTTTAATCTCAATTAGATTAGCATATTGAAATGTTAATGGAATTTCATCTGGGTGCATCCGAAAGTAGTAACTTTGGGTACTTGTAGGTGCACGTAACATCTCAATTTCTGTAAATAGTCCGTCTGAATATTTCATAAGCCATTTTTTGTAAATTTGTACACTTTTCTCATCAATGGAAAAATTCGGGGAACCCTCCACCGCCTACGGACCACCAACAGAATAAGTGGTTCATAAATTTATTTGCTTATGACATACGTACTTAGTACAAGTATGGAGTATGAATGGCTACTAAATAAGGGATGCTATTCCGAGCTAATATCATCATTTCCATTTCTTTACAACAGTCCTTATAAAATGTAGGTGATATTATACTAATTCATTTTCAGTTTTCTCTAGTATATTTTCACTTTTTGCCATGTTTGCGAAGATTTTCTTTCATTTCCTTTTGGAACGTGGGCATTTATACAGACTAGCGAAAGTCATGTTGTAGGTTACCCAAAGAAATAGGTCATTTCCATTGAGCATAACCCAAATAGGAAAAACTAAATTTGAATCGTAGTCTTCAGAAGAATCCCATTTTTCTTATTACTAGCTCTTCTTTTTTTAAGAAAGTTGAATCAATTTTCTATGGGTTTATTAAATGGTGTCCACGGACGTTAACAAATGTATCCCTTGTAATTCTTCTACATTAGCTCTTGAATATTGTCAGGTGGAGTGTTATACACTACCGTCTTGAAATATCCCCGAAGAAAGAAATCAAGCGGGGTCAAGTATCGCAAGACCGTGATGACCATCTACGGTACCCCATTTTCCAATCCATTAACTAGGGTACCTTATAGTTTCAGCCACTGCGTAACAGCCACAGTATAATGTGGTGGGGCTCCTTCTTGCTGACAGTGCAAATTGTCTTTTCTTGGTCTAGCAGCCAAAGATTATGTAATCAGAAGGTCTCATCTAGGAGTATCGACTTGACCTGTCGAAACATTAAATTTATGCGACAATTCAACTCATGTATAAAAAATCGCATAAGCCGCAGTGCAATTGTCACTTTGACAGCGGCAAAAGTTACCTGCATCTTTTCCAGCGACAAACGCACTAGTGGTTTTTTCACTATTCATTTTCGAACCAATTATCGCATTATCCTTTCCCATATGACTATATTTGACGTCTGTCAATAATTGATTAGTTTGGTGAATTTCTTGTTCGTTAAATTGTCCTGCCGAATTACACTCGAGGTTTGTATTTAAACCGAGTAAATTTGGGTTGTTGCAACTCAAATCTGTTTCCTTTTAGCAATTGAACTCGAAAAACTGTCAACCTAAAAATGCTCCACCTGCGGTGTCGCATTTTTATTAGTTGACAGTTTTTCTCGTCGAATTGCTAGGCAACAGATTTTCATTACCTTAACAACCCAAATTTACTCGGTAAAATACAAACCTCTTGTGCAATTATAAGTGAAAATTGATATTCTCGAAGCAGGTTTGGTTTTTTATTTCATACTGTCCGGTAGATGTTCGATTACACTATCATTTTGAGTCCGGTAGGTGAGTTATTACAGCATCCGAGCCGGTAAGTGTCGCTAAGCAACACTTACCGGACTGTTATTTGTATACATCAAATTTGACATCTTCACACAATTAATTGAAAACCCCAACATAAATTTGACTGTAATTCTTTATTTCAAACATTAACATTGATTGTAATGAAACAATTTGTATTGCCCTCAACACTACGCCTGGGTTATTACTGAATGTCGAGTTAGTAATGTTTGATTCCTTCTGCTGTAAAACTTCAATGAAATTTTCGCCGCCTTGTATCAGTTGTATCTTACGGGCAATCTTAACTTTTCCTTCTACCGAGCCTTCGATGTATTTTTCTGCCGTCGATGAGCTTTTCCATGCTCCATGACGCTTTAACACCGAAACCCAGGCAAAAAAATCTCAATTCAAAAACTTACTGCCTTCAAAAAGTATGCCAACACGACTTTTTCCTCTACTTGTTTCGCCCCATGTTCGTTCCTCAATTGGCAAAACACTTAGTACTCTTTTTCATACCTTGCGCCCGACTTCTTAGGAACCAACTTTTCGGTTGCTTCATGAGATCTCGACAGGATTGTATCGGGAACATTGGAACATCCCACAACGTTTATAACGTCAATTTTTCAGTGAAAAAAATTCAATTGTCAACAAACTACAAACTATAGCAACGGCCGTTGCCACAGAAACAAGGTAATGCGATTTTTACAATATAATGAAATTTTGTAATCTTTGAAATGAAATAATAACAGACTTACAGTATGAAATAAAATACGTTACGATATACGTCCGGTAGTACTTGTAGCAGTACTCGTTTAAGACATTCTTGACTCGGCTCCTGACGTCGCCTCGTCCATAATGTCTAACTCGTACTGTTACAAGTAACCTACCGGACTTATAACGTAAATAACTATTGTTATCCCAGTACTCTACGCCTGTGTTTGTTCATAATGCAGACGTTTTCGAAAAACTTAGTATCTTCATCAAGACTTCATCTTCTCCGAGTCTATCCATATTTGTTTTTTATTTCCTTCAAATCATTCACGAATTTTTTTCCTTCAATTACTCCTACATCTTTTCCGAATCTTAGTTGACAATTTACTGAATTAGAATTATGGGTTTTCCTTTCTCGAATATTTTCCCAACTACTCCCAGACTAATATTTCACTATACGATAGTTTTGTTAACCTTCTTAAGGTATCCTTTCGAATTTCCATAAATATTCTCTAATCTTCCTGAATCATACTCAAATCAGTCCTGAGTTTTCCTGAAAATTATACTGATTTTGTCCAGAATTCCTGAAGGTTCTCCCAATCTTTCTTGAGTTACTCTTGAATCTGCCTGAACCTCCACGAGTATTTCTTAAATCTTTCACGTATCGTTCATGATCGCCCTCGAATATTTCCATAATTTCTCATGACTCTTACTTCAGTTATTTCTGAATTTCCACAGATACAGAAATATTCAAAACCCTTTTGCAACTTCCTTAAACCCTTGAATCAATATGGTGTTTTGAATCTGTCTACAATTGAATCCTTTGTAAATCTCCCCAGGAATGAAAGATTCAATGCGCATTTGCCTACAGCATGCATGCACCACCCCTGCTATCGGTGCCTCATTTTCCTTCACCACTCAAGCCTAAGGACTCCAAACTCCAAAAATGATTGTGATTGATAAAACCACTAAACGTTTTATGGAAGAATGAAAATTCCCCTACAACTATCATAATATCATCGTTCACTCGGGGGTTATTCCTAACTGCCTCTGTGTTCTCTCTCAAGATTCATAACAAACCTCCCCCACTCCCTCCAAGGAATGAAAGATTCAATGTTCATTTCCCTACAGCTATTACAAAATGTTCTTATGCTATAATAGGTACTAACGTCGATTGTTCTGATGATATTTTGTGAGGATATTTGATATAATTGTAGGTGTTTTCAAGAGGTAACAAACCATCAAAATGAGGTGTGTCAAATTCATTTATTTTGTATTTATCTTGTTTTTTAATTAGTTCAAAACCAGACGATCCAAATTTGATTTTGGGAGTATCTTTGTGTAGAGAATTTTATGTGTAACTCATATGCATATTATAGTTTTAAGGTGGGGGTAGCTGAGGGTTAAATTCATAAATAGTTTCATTGTTAACGTGTTTTTGGAATTTATCATTTTTTTATCAAGATTACAAATTACAGACAATGGATCGTTTTGAAATAAAAGCCCTGTATATTGTATATTGCATCGTTATTTTCCGATATTTATAAGGAAAGGTAAATAAAATTAACTGACGAACATTCATATACGTACATAATAGCTATAACAAGTTGCTTATTTCTGCTGATTGTCCTTGATTTAGATGAAGCTCGTCGAAAGACAAAACCAACATGATTTTGAGGGCTTCAGTCTTTCTATTAAATCGAGGACAGTCTTTTCGATGCCTGAAAAGAAACAAAAAAGACCAAAAGTTTTTGAGCACGTTTTGTGACTCAAAATGAGATCTATCTTCGATATCGATCCAAATACAGGGTGTCCATTTTTCGAGTGCCACTATGGAGATCTTGCTTATCTTAAGAGATAGAAAGTTGGTTAAATGAGGGCAAAGGTGCGAATTTTCGTGCAGAACAATCCGAAAATATATTTGAAATAGGTATCTTCAATAGTTTTGAAAATATCACCAAAAAAAATCAAAACATTATTAAGACCCTTTCTCTATTCTTATTCGTATATCCTGCAACGGTCTTTGTGCGTACATAAGTGGTCGAAACTTCCCTTCTTGAATTAAAATTTTGAATTTGGCAACAAAATTCGCTAGCCCAATGTATAAAAATTTGCTGACACTAGCACAGATACCACCCGCACACCACCGCATGCGGGATTCTATCCTGTTATATCTAAGAATATGTGTACCAAGCTTGGTTCCAATCGGTTCAGCCGTTTGGCTGGAAATGTGAGTACAGGCAGACAGACCGACATACCGATCGACATTATAGAGATTTTGTTTGATTCGGATTCCTTGTGCTCTAAAACGTGTAGGTACTTCCGTCAAAAAAGTGAGTGAACTCCAATGCAATAACCCCCTTACCAACGTGCGGGTGGTAAAAAATAGACTTCATTAGATGGTGTGCTTACTGCTAATCTCTCCTCTGATTAATCTATCCATGGTCAGAAAATAACATTATGTTGGACGCTGCCGTAGTAAATGAAACAAAATATCTCTAATAAAAACGTTTGAACCTGAGTAAAACTTTCGCTATCGTGACCCCTCAACACCCTGAAGTAATTGAGAAAAAAACGTTACTGGAAGTGAAATGACACAAAAATACCTGACACGGTTCAAAATTTTATTACTGCATTCCACTACTCTCTTGGATAATTTATCCATTTAAATTTCTAGACCCTACAAATTCCAATAGTATATTCTCAAACTGAATTATCTTACGTTTACAACTAGATTTCTAGAAAATTCACCGTTACAATCCCCCCTCTTGCTATAGCCCTGACTGGCAGATACAGTAGTTACTGAAGCAGTTTAGTTGGCCAATTAGCTACTACTAAACAAAATTCGTCACTCGTTTTATTTTTCCGTGTCGTACTGACTCGTGTTTTAACCAATTACAGTGAAGATCCAAGCTTCCCTATCCTTTCTACTGCTATGTTCTTATAACGAATAGAGTATAGTACCATTTTGATGTAACATCTATTCACTATTACCTAGGTGCATCCAAATGTACAGTCGTAGTCACATTTTCTGATTCTTACAGTTGCATGTATTTAGCCACCATTACGCTCACTGATCCGCTGTAATTTTTAGATTGTCGTGATTCTCGTGTCATTTTCGCACGCAAAACCTCAACGTCAACATAAGGAAGACCTAGGAAAATACGTGTCCGACAACAGTGGCCAATACGTTCACGATGACAGCGGCCGTTACATCCACGATCACAGTGGCGACTACATACCAGACGGCCTCGGCGGTTACTTGCACGATGGAGCAGGTGGATACACATCCGACGATAGTGGTATTTACAAAAATGACGGAATACACCGAAGAAGTGATATCGATTCGTACAAATCAGGTAAGCCAACGGATTTCTCAAGTTTCAAAAGTAATTAGATGACAAATTCCAGCGCATAGGGTTTTCACCAACAGTTTCGCAGATAAATCCACAACTAAATCTCAAAATTCCAAGTACGGTCAAATTGGATCCGCTAATTTGTTAGGAGCGGGGTCAACACCCGCTAAACACACACTTAGACCGGACTCAATTTTCGGAGACTTAGCATCGGCAGCATCTCCAGTTGGATCTGCGTCTAAGCTGTCAGGTACCACTTACGACCAAGGGCGGTATTCCAATCCAAATGGTAAATGGAAAATTAAACGACAAGGACAAGATGTCGACACCGACGGATATCACTGGGAGTAAGCTAATTGACTTATTTCGATTGCCGTTTAGTGTACGCTTTGCAGATTTGAAACTGAAAACAAAATTATCGCAGAAGAGTCTGGAAAACTGGCAAACAAAGGTACGGAAAAGGAAGGCATGAGAGCTAAAGGATTCTATCAATACATGGGACCGGACAATGTTCCATATTCCGTCACATACACTGCCGATGAAAATGGATTTTTGCCTGTTGGTAGCCATTTGCCGACACCTCCCCCAATTCCCGTAGAAATTCTAAGAGCTTTAGATTATTTAAGATCTCACGGTAAATTATGAAGCGGATTTAAGTTTAGTTAACGTTTTAAGATGTATATGAACTGGACTGAACATTAAAGGACCTAAGTTTTGTCAAAATCGTACAGTACGAGTAGTTTCACGTTCTATCATGGAGATAAGAGTAGTGATCGGTTTACTAGACATGGACATCGACACTCTATTGATAACCTTATATTAATTCTCAAATAAGAGAAGTTTGATTTGCATATATAAGCACTATACTATATGAAATGTAGTAACCAAATGGCAAATAGTTAGATGTATACAGTATCAAATGCGGAAATGGAGATCATTTGAGAATCCTTGCTCCTTAGGTCTTCGTCTAAATAGCATTTTACAGTGAAAAGTAGCTGAAGATATAGATAGATGTATGAAGGGGGATATTTCCGTTACTATAAGGAACGGTTTATAGTATTTTACATTAGCCAGGTAAGTGAGTTTTTACTGGCGATAGGAGAAGTTGACTGGCAAGCCGTCAGGCGAGCCTGCCATCTCCTAGAGCCAGTAAAAACTATTACCTGGCGTATAATATACAATATTTTATTTGTTACTCATTTGTAAACAATAGTAAACGTAAATAATTAGTTCTTAAATTGATCTCGAAGAAATGTCTAAAATATCATATTATCCATGTAACAGAGACTTCGCATTAATTCTGGCCAATGAAATTACTAGATTACTAACTTGTAAAATTTTTACACGTCAGCTGTCAGTTTTACAAGTCAGTAGCGTTTAAAGATGACGCTTACCCGTTTGCGTTTAGTCTTATTAATCAACGTTTACAACTGAGTAACAAATAAAAATAATTTTACATCAATAGCACCTAAAACGAATATTAGCGGAAGATGGACACCCGAGAGACGTTTGTCATATAGGAATTATTACTACTAGCATCTTTTAGTAAAGTTGTTGCTCAATTTAGTAAGTTGTTTGAGAAATGGACGGACAATGTGTCCTCAATAATTAGTTTTGCCATTTGGAAATATGTGATAATAATACATATCATCGGCGTTGCTTTGGTTGTAATTGTTTTTCTGTAACTATGCATCTTTGAACATCGATTGCTAGTAGCTTAAGTGCCTTCTAACACATTGCCATCTGATCAACTCTGCGATGAGCATTATATATACTAATAGAACAATCAAAAATCCACTATATATTGATTTTTGTGCTTCTAAGATTTCATTGAGAAGCGCAGTTCTGTCAAACGTTATACTTACAATTGAGTTACCGTACCAGACAGAAATTCTTTGTATGTAATGTTACATATTTACGAAGAAAGAAGAGTACAGCAAACCTCTTTCAACTAGCAAGGGGTCAAAAATGCTTGATTAAGATACTAACTATACTATGATAGCTACTATAACTTAACCCTATACATGGAAAGTTCCAAAATTTGTTTCTGTTGTCTAATTTTTTTACCTTTAAGAACCAAGACATGCGTAAATGTAAAATGTAAATGTAATAGCTTCGGTTCAGTTTATCAGTTTGTAAGATGCGCTTAGAGACCATGCAAGTAACACTAGCGGAGCAGGGCAAGCAAGCTCATCACTAAAAAACACATCCGATTGGTGGACCTACAATATGCTATCATCAGAAAAAAGCTTGTAAAGAGTTTTGTAGCTCAATTGAATCCACTTCCTTCTAGGGACTTTAGTGTGTACTTGACTGTAAAGCCCTTTTGACGAGGCTGATTGCAATATTTTACTAGTCTCACGGTGAAACCTAGACGATGAAAGATTACCCCGAAGGGACTTCCTAGTCGACAGCTATCTTTGGAAGTCCATCTCCGTTCGGTGGAGATAAGATCACTTAATCCTCCACCAGCAAGGTATTGCGATGAGCCGGTTTTGAAACAAATTGCTCTAGATCCATCTAAAGGCAAGCGACTTTTGTCCCAAGTTACCAGTCAACATCACATTTCGGTATCACGTCTACCTACTAAAAGAGGAGCATTTGCATCCATATCACTTTCAAAAGGTGCATCAATAAAATTGAATTTTGGTTCTAGACTCCCGTTTTGCGAGGTAATTCGAAGACGCCGTCGTGTAAACCAGATTTTCAATTTTATTCACGTATGAAGCCACATTTCATTCCGATTGGGTTTTGAGTTAATGGAGTGCTACATTTCCTACATGAAATCAGCAGAGGTTTTTGTGAACTTGTGAGCCGAGATTGTAGGTCAGTATCTCTTAGGTCCTTAAATGCTGCCACCACGAATGAAAACGGAGCAACGTTTAGCGTTCCTATACAATCCGAGTTCCTCGATTACTTCTACCGTGCTTCAATAAATCACCCCGATCGCGTACATCCATAATAGATGGATTTAAATGGGTGGTCCAGTAGCATGGCTACTTAGGTCCCTAGATCTTACACCGACTTTGAATTGAAGCACCCGAAGGCCTGATTATGAGATTTATAGCTGCGCATGGAGAGATAAACGCTAAGGGCAACACCACAACACAACAATAAACACAATAATTTAAAACTCATTATACATACCTCTCATCTACAAAACCTCATGTTTTCATTGCATCTTCGCTCTTAAACATTGTCCATATTGGATCATTTACTAAATTCGCCGAAGAAATGCCAAAAGTAATATAAACGTCTTTTTGGATCAAATTTAAGATGGAAAAAAAATTGTTAATTTAAGAATGGCCCTATATTTTCTTAGTTAAAAGAGATTATTAAAAATATTTAGCATACAAGTTTCTTTATAATGATTGTTCATTAATTTGCCAGTTTCAAAATAATATACACGGTGGAGTGAAGAAGTTATCGGACCTAAACCTCACTTTTTTAAATGAAACTCCGTATGTCCTTTAACCCAAAATGATAAATTCTCTCTTTAAAAGTATTGGAATAATATTCCAAAATTTGAATTTTTTTAAAAGAGATGTTAATAAGCTATTTAATATATTAACATATACAAGGTATTCGATTTAAAAAATGAGGTTATGTCCAATAACTTTTAACCTGCCTCCGTAAACTTACTTTGAAAGCGGTAGATAATTCAACCATCAATTTCAAGGCAGTTTTGTATTAAAATTTTTATGTCTCCCATTTAACTAAGAAAATATAGGATCACTCTGGAATTGACAATTATTTTGACTTTCCCCATATCTTTTAACCGATCGAATATTTTTAAATTTTGATTTTACCATCTTAAATTGGACCCACGGTCGTGATTGGACCCAAAAAGAGCGCATGATGCCTATATGACTTTTTTTGATAGCTATACATGTGTCGTAAATGGGACACCTTGTACAAGTACCTACCTATAATACAAAATGAGGAATGATTTTTGTACTAAAATATAGGTGTCTTTATTCCAATAGCTATAAAGAATCGCATTTTTTTTAAAAGAATGTTTGTGTATATTGTCAATTTAATTAATAGGTACGGAAATAAGATCGTATATTACCAAAAGGGAAGTTATGAAGTTCCTGTCTGTCCCAACTTCGAAGGGCAAAACCTGAGCAACAAGCGATTATATATACAGGGGTGCTAATTTCCCATGTAATTAGTTGAAAATGTCGCAAATATAAAAAAATTAACGATAAGTCCTATTATATCTTATGCGAACAATTTTTACACAGTAGTAGCTTTCGATCTTATCTTACTAACCTGACTCGATTCGAAACGAGGATAATTCCGTGTGAACATGCGCTGCTCTCCCACCAAAGAATAGAAAGGCAAGTGCAGTTGCCTAGTTGCAAAAAGACTTTAAGATTGTATATACATAGAATTAGTCTGGTTGCGCGTAGAACCTCGGCCAAAATTCAAGTTTTTATAAATTTAAATTTGCGTCACCCTCTATTATTGCAAGTTTATAGATTATTGCGAACCTTATGAGTACAGTTAAACCTATTAGAAAAAATTAATTAGTTTTAGTTAGTTCCTGATTTCTTGGATTGTGATTATTCCATATAGGTAAATAAAAAAGTTTTTCTCACGGACTTTACCAGTATGTGGAATAAACATTAAACTGCAATATAATCGTAAAAATTCCCATTCCTCATACTAAACCTATAAACTTTACATAAGAAAAATTCTGCGTTGGTTCCGTTTCGGTTTTTCAGCCCGGCAACAATTTCAGATAATAACGACGGAATAGGCTTGCGGACGCTAACGGAAGTCGGGTCCAGTTCTGATTTTCTAACCGGAAACAATAGGGAAAGGAAAAAGTTGGAAAAAGAAGCAGCTAAAGCGTAAATAACGAGTAAACTGTTTTCATCGCTAGAGTTGTTTATTGTTATTGGAGATCCGTTAAATACTAATGCAAGTGAATTGTATTTGGTGTGAGTTGCATGTTAATTATTCGAGATGGATCCGTTTTGTATCTGGAAATAACGACAGTAATTAAATTAAATACTTGTGTAACCGGAAGAAGAATAAATTCCAAGAAGTTTGAGGCGGTCTACGTATAAACAAATTGATATAAACAGCGGCGGAATTAAAAGCATAAAATAACATTGTCAGTAAAATCGCGATAGCGCATATAAATATTGATGAACCGTAACTGACATCACAAATGCGAAATTATCTATTTGTGTCTTTGACATGGTGGAAAACTGAGAATACGGAATGCGTGTATTTCAATCTACTTAATCTCAGACGAACGGTACATTATATTTGTCAACCTAAGTAGTTTTTTTTTTAATTTCCCACAAAGAAAGAACTTCATATACCAACCGATACAAACCTTGACCTAGTGAGATTTCTTACAAACTCCAGTTTTATGGAAATCGATGCCCTATCAAACTAATATGGACTCGACGTTATTTCCACTTGCGCTATTTATTTATTTATTTTTTTTTTGTTTATTGCCTTTATTTTATAGTGGGCGGAGTGTTAGCAATTTGCTACTCTTCCCATTCAACCCACTATACAATCACAAACAGCCATGCCTTACCTGGGATTCGAACCCAGGACCTTTGTAGCCAAAGTTAGAGTTACTAACGTAAACTCATCACTGAGCTACGCATTTTGTTCTAATCCTAAGAAGTCGAGATATAAATACCTTAGGGTACCTTATTCTTGAAATAGGAACGCTTACTCCCCCAATTTAAAGTGGTGAAAAAA